CCAAAGCTAATGAGGCTAATCGAGCCCAACATGCGGTGAAATGCTAACAAAGATGGCGGAGCAACGAGTGAGCAGATTGTGGACGTGAGCGAGCCGGGTGCCATGGGTGACTGCGAGGCTGCTGATGCTGAGGTGAGGAGCGCAGTTCTTCCGGTCCACATCACGGAGGGAGAAGGCACCTGCACCAGCACCACGGCTAAGGCGAGCAGAGGTACCCGGACCCGGACGGAGGTGATGACGCGACATCAAAGTGATGGAGAAAGCGGAGGCGCCATGTTTGTGGGTAACTGGGACTAAGGGAAACTTGATTCTGTGTTTACTTTTGGGTCCTCGGAGCCGGGCCTGACGATGGACCGTGCACTGACAGTGGTCTTAGGACCGCTGTCCCAACCCTTTAACCCCTAACCCTAACCCTAACCCTAACCCTCTTGATGAACTAGTTAATAACAAACACATAGTTATTAAACCAGCAGATAAGGGCAGCTCTATAGTGATCTTGGACAGGGAGCAATATTTATGGGAAGGCTACAGACAGCTTAATGATCCCAAATACTACACCAAATTGACCCACCCCATTTATCCAAACACTGTCCCGATTGTAAATAAAATCATCCTAACTCTACATGAGAAGAAGTTTATTAATCTGAAACAAAAGCATTATTTAATGGGTGACGCTGTACCTAGAGCCAGATTATTCTATATGCTGCCCAAAATACACAAGGACCCTGCCAAGTGGAGTAAACCACATGAAATCCCTCCCGGCAGGCCCATCGTGTCTGACTGCAGCAGTGAGACTTATCACACTGCAGAGTACCTCGACCACTTTTTGAATCCTCTGTCGACCACACACCCGAGTTACATAAAGGACACGTACCACTTTGTAGAGATAATTAAAAGACTCCGCATTCCGGACAACTCAATTTTATTCACCATAGATATTGATAGTCTCTATACAAACATTGACATAAAAGAAGGCATGCAGGCCGTTAAGAATTCATTTCGCAAACACCCCGACAAAAAGCGACCAGAAAAAGAATTATTACAGTTACTGGAGATCAATCTGACCCAAAATGATTTTGAATTTAATGGGGAATTTTTCCTTCAAATCAAGGGTACAGCGATGGGGAAGAAGTTTGCTCCTGCATACGCTAACATTTTTATGGCTGAGTGGGAGGAATCAGCCCTGAAAATATGTCCTAAAAAGCCACTGCATTATTATAGATATTTGGACGACATCTGGGGTGTGTGGCCCCACTCGAGGGAGGATTTTGAAGTGTTTCTGTGCACCCTCAACAATCACAATCAGTCTATTAAAATTAAATCCACCGACAATTTGACTTCTGTTGACTTTCTGGACACCACAACGTTTAAAAGTAACACATTTAAGGAAACCCACACATTGGACATTAAGGTATTTTTTAAGGAGACAGACACACATGCTCTGCTCTTCAAGACCAGCTTCCACCCAAAGCACACATATGCTGGCTTAATTAAATCCCAACTGTTGAGGTTTCACAGAATATGCAGCAGAGAAGAGGATTTCCGTGTTGCAGTCGGGGTGCTCTTTCACGCTTTGTCCACCAGGGGGTACTCTAGGACCTTTCTTAGAAAATGCCAGAGGTCATTTCTAGAGAAGAAGCCTATTACTGTGGGCTCCAGTCTCCCCTTTGTCACCACATATTCACCTTCTACTATGGCATTGGTCAGAGGATGCAGAAGGAGATTCCTCTCCCACACCACAGGGTCTTCTGTCCTGCAGGACCACAGGATCATCCCGGCCTACAGGAGAAACAAGAATCTACTGGATTATCTGGTAAAGGCCAAATTAAAACCTCTGCACAGCACTAAGGGGAGAGGTCAGAGTGATGTCTTTTTTAAACACAGAAAATGGCTGCAAAGCCACAGCACGGGAGATGTTTTTCTGAACTCAGCCAGGGGAAACACCAAGTCCAAGAACTGTGTTTACCTCATCACGTGTGTACAATGTGGATTACAATATGTGGGGGAGACGGGGAACACCATCGCGACCCGCTTCACACAACACAAACACAACATCATTAAAAAGAAAAAAACACTGACGCCACTTGTGGCACATTTTATTTCGCACGGTTGGAAATCTGTGTCTGTGTGTGTGATCCAGATGAACCCCGGATGGAGCGCTCCCCAGAGGAGGAGAGCGGAGAGGGGCTGGATCAATAAATTAAAAACCAGGTATCCTAAGGGCTTAAATGAGGACTAAGAGCTGCGGGCTGTGAGGCAGTGCTGGACAGTGCACAGATGGTCCTGCTCGCAGGTCCATCCAAAACTATTTATTCCCTAACCGGCCCGTGCCGCCTGCTGAGCAGCCTGCGGTCTCTACGGTTCTCTTATACAGCCCACCCTGTCATTTTGTCCTAAACACAACCACTCCATAACCCATGCCTAAACCTAATCCTATACGGCCCACCCGGTTATTTTTTCCTAAACACAACCACTCCATAACCTATGCCTAAACCCAACCCTTCATCATCCATGATCCTGCCACTGTACCACTTACAGGTTGAAGTTTAAATAAAAGGCCAATTGGCCCTTTAACTG